GCCTGTACAGTGGTTTTCTCCTAAAATCGTGGAAGTGATGGGATCCCATCAAGAAAACAGAAGAGATTTTTTCCAACATTTAAAAAGTAGTGAAATTTAAAAAAAATGTCATTTTTCAAATGATATTTTATAAAAATACCACATTTTTAAAATTTTTATAAAAATGCTATTTTTTCAAATTTATTTTTTCTTTATATTATTTATGTTTAGATTAYTTATGTTCTATTAGAGTTTAGTTTTAAGTGTTTAGGGTGTTTTATGTATCAAAACATTTTTTAGGATTTAGAAATTTAAGATATAGATTATAATTAGTGATATTTTTGTAAATAGATATTTTTAAATAGTATTCTTGACATATGTGTCTTAAACAATTGGTATTTTTGTAATTTTCGTTTTAAAGCAAACAAGATGACGTTGTTTATATTCACGCGCGGCCATGTGGATCCCAACCCCTATCTTTCATAGTATTTTCTTGGCTCTTTCCTCTTTTTCCTAATATTATAATACTTTTGGACATTTTTGCATGGTATCTTCACCTATCTCTCCTCCATTTGTCTATCTTTTTCAGTTCAATGTATCATCAAGAAGAATTCACTACCTTTTTATTTTAGATATTAATGGCTTGTTTTTGGCTCGACTTTTTTTTTCTTCTAAATTTGGACTTTTCTAGCCTCACTTTTGATGAAATTCGGGAGAAAGATAATTGATAAACAAAAGGAAGAGTTAACGTTGGATTCACGATAAAAACAAAAAAAAAACGTTGGATTCTGTATCAGATAGACCTCCATAATAATAACTAATACTATTCTATAAATCTGGCTGTAAAATTGGTCCGGCCATATTTCTCAATAACTAGCTAGAATTTGTTTTCATTTGAATATCATAACACGACAAAATATGTATTCGTATGCTTATATCTTGTATCCATCTGTTTCTCAACCCATTGCATACGCATCTCAATTGCACATAGCGTTTGATATTATCTTTCTTAATATGTGAATGAATTAGGTAATTCTTGTTTGTCTCACACCACACCACTGAAATTATTTTTGAATTAAAATTTATATAATCTTTTAACGAACACAAAAAACCTCTAGATGATTTGAGATGCCCATCCATCTCCTAGCTAAAACTTAAGATAAAAAAATAGCATTAAATGTATTTCATTATAAACTTCCGTAATTTAGATGTATTTTTTGGTCAACTTGGTGAGTCTAATTATTGCTTAGTTTTTTTTTTTGCTAAAATTTAAGTATTTCTTAGTATTACATCATATACTAATACTAAATGTTTTTAGTAATTGGGTCTGTTTATCAAATAGAGATTAGGTTAGACTTCGCCATCCAATGCCGGTTGTTTTAATAAAAGAAAACTACCGAATCTAAGCAACATACGTTGACATACTTCTAATTTTGTTAAAAATTTTGAATTGATTCCTTTAGATAATTTATTACGAGTTCTTTGGAGGTATTAATGTTAATCAATTACGAGGGAGGTAGAATATAATATAGCCGGACAGAAAACGCGGCGATTCGACCGAACTCTGTTGCCACAATGCCTACGCCACTTTTCCCCTTGCATGCGACTTTGAGGTTCGAACCTCTCCTCCTTCTGTTTACCATTTTACCCTTTTCTCTTCTAGTAATTTCATTTTTAAATATTCACCGTCTCCAAATATTTTGGCAGCTCATTATTAACTGTCCAACATAAAACTGCGGTCAGAGACTCAGAGGTAAACAAAAATATTGTCGTATTTTGTTAGAGATGCTTGTTGCTTGACTGGCTTTGGACGATGAAGATCACGCGCTATGAGTGAGAGTCGGAGACAAACTTCAAAAAGCTATTTATTGGTAATTAGAAGAAGAAGAAAAATGATAGGAACGATGAATTTAAGAAAATGACACTAAAATATTAGGAAAAGAAAGATAAAGGACATTTTGAACAATTGTGATATCAATATTGTAGAAAACATTATAGTTCTTTTAGCACATTGATTATTATTTTATTCATTTAAA